TAAATCATAGCGTATTTGTGAAAACATCGCTAAACCCTTCTACTCAATTTGTAGGCACTTTTACTCATTTTTTCTAATAAAATGGAATTAAAAAAAATCAGGATTTTCCGAAAATAAATAGAAAATGTTCCAAATCAAGAAAATAAAGATATTCCAATATCGGGAAATCAGGGCAAAATGGGTTAAGTGTTTATTTATTTACTTTTACATATTTTACCACGACAATGGTGGGGGGGGGGGGGGGGGTTGTTAAAAACATTTTCTAAATTTTGAGAAGAGTATATAAATGAAGGATAATAAAAAATAATTTTAAAAAGCGGCTATATTTTAATTCTAATTTAAATGGGTGTCTTATTCAATTTCCTCATTTTGTAAATTGCAAAAATTTTAGGCCCGGCCATACCTCCCATATTCTAAGAGTGAGGTGGAATTTTTAATGACTAAAAGGATAAAGAGCGGGAAAGCGCGACAACTGCAATCCTTTTATATATAAATATTGGTGAATAATTTTTTTTCAAATTATAATTTACAAATTTAAATTTGAATTGTAATATTATCCACGTTTATAAAGTCAAAATATTTAAAAATTAGATCCAAATCTACATATTTATAGGAAGGAATTCATTTTATTTAAAAGTTTATTATATATGAAAATAAATTTTAACTCTTCGCAATTCATGTCAAAATTCTGCTTTACCATTAATTCGGCCTTTAATAAATCAAATGAGACCGAAGAAGGATTTTTTCGCCTAATCATATTCATTAAACTCATCTCTGAGCCAGCATTTGAAATGTAGAATTAAAAATAAATTTTTAGATATTTTTTAGGCTTATATTTACATTTTTATTTAATTCTTTCTTAAATATTCTAACTTGATCGTATCATTCAAAATCAAAGGTTTAAGCTATTTATATCTATAATTACCATAATAGTTTGATAATTCTGAGTAACTTCTTTATATGCTTCAACTTGTGTATCAGAACAGAGGAATAGACAAGATTTATATATTTTAATATCAGCGCCGTTAAATTTGGCGGCTGATTAGTTCTACGAACTAATTGTAAATTATATCATTATTTCTTGCTTTATTTGTACCAATTGAGTATTTAAACGAGTATAGTAGCTCGTAAAAGGAAAAAACTATTAGTAACAAAATTTTGGCAAATCTATGATTTAAGCGACGGAAATAATTTATTCAGAAAATTTTATCGATGTTCCGTATTAATTATAATTTAATTCGTTTAATAGACAGTATAAAGAAAAAGTTTATTAACAAAATAAGAAAAATTGCCTAATTTGGCATTATTGATAGAATGGAAAATAGCTGGTTTGCGCTAATATTTATTAATTCTTCAGTCATTTTTTTTCACACACAAAAAGGTAGCCGTACTATAAGAGAAATAAAATCTATATCTCCCATTAAAGCGTAAAATCAACCAAATTTCTGGAAGCATTTAATCTGGAACTTAAATCAATAATTGAAATTTATTACATTGATTCTTCAATTCGTTTGGTAGATAGTTTTTCGACAAAGTAAGATAAAATTGCCACGATTGGCAACATGCGAAAAAAACAAATATTTTTGGGTGAGCTCGTACCATAGAAATGCCAGATTAGTACTTACTATTCCATCAATCAGTTTTTCTAGTCAATAAACAAAAACTAGTTTTAATAAGAGAAATAGACAATAGCAACCTTTAAGTATGAACACGGTTGCCATGTCTCTCCCCATCAGCGGGACTCCCGCAATTTTTTAGTTTACACGCAAATATCTCTCTCCCGCAAAACTACGGCAATTGGAAATCTCCCGCGATTTTTAAAAAAAAGTATTTTAAACGTTTTTAATATGTAAATAATAATTTTGAGACATTAATTGATTATTTTTATATTTTTAAATTAAATTTTAAATATTTATTCGAAAAACATGTCTAGTTTGTAAATTTCTTTCTATCCTGTTTCATTTTTATCCAATAATAAATCAACATTATTTCATTAATATTAGCAGGGGAATATATCAACATCGATTGCAATACAAAATATTCTCAAAATGAAACTATATTTGCGGAAATCGTATATACATCTATTATGTAGTTCAACAGCTCTATATATATCATTACAATGTGGGTCGAATCTTTTTCTAATGATATTTAACGACTCCAATCAAACCTTACTTGTGGCAATAAAAATGAGCAAGGCTATCACAAGTGTTTTGGTACCTGAATTCTAGAGGTCAATTCTAGACGATTTGTAAGATGGGCATCCATATGCAATTCTAACAAATGTATCTAATAAGGGAAATATTAAAACATTTCCCTCGATCCTTTTGCAATTTTAACAAAAATAAGAACATTTCAATAAAACTGTTAAAAAAATTTCCTCAAATAGTGAAAAATCCAACGATGTAGCTAGCCACATAAGAATAAATATAGCTGATTCAAGGTTATCAATGATTTGCATGCCAGCTTTCCGCGCTGATAATGCCTCTGTAAATTTTGGCAAAAACTAAAGTTACCGAATTGAGGCAGCACAAATGAATTAATACCAATTGGCTGTATATGCCATATATACTACATAATTCTTGCAAGAAGGCAATGAATGAACTGTCTGTTCAATAACAAATTTCATAAACCAGATCTAAGTTAATTAATTATTATATAAATTTTTTAAGGTTAAAAGAAAATTACAAACTATGTGTCAAATAATATAATTATAAAAAAATGATTCAAAATAAATTAGTCATTATTAGCAATTATCGCTATATTAAATTCTCTATAATATCTTCGCGATATATGTTTCGCGAAATAATTGTCGCTACATTGTCTTCGCGATTTGGGTTTCGCGATTTGGGTTTCGCGATAATAACTTCGCTATAAAATTTTCGCGATTATTGATTCGCGATTAAAGTTTCGCGGTATTCGCTTTAAAGGTTTCGCGATAAAGGTTTCGCTATTTTTCGCAATTATTGATTCGCGATAAAAGTTTCGCGGTAATGTATTCTCAAATGTTTCGCGATAAAAGTTTCGCGGTAATGTATTCGCATTAAAGAAAGGTTTCGCTATAAAAAATTCGCGATATTTGTTTCGCTATATTTTATTCGCGGTAATGTATTCGCTATAAAGGTTTCGTGATAAAGGTTTCGCGATAAAGGTTTCGCTAAAAAAATTCGCGATATTTGTTTCGAGATATTGCATTCGCGGAATAGTATTCGCTATTATAGATTCGCGATAAAAGTTTTGCTATAAAATCTATTCGCGATAAACGACATTCGCGATAAAAGTTTCGCGAAATAGTGTTTCGCGATAAAAGTTTCGCGAAATAGTGTTTCGCGATAAAAGTTTCGCTGAATTGACATGGAACCAAACAAATTTAATATCAATGTGTAGCTTAATCCTTAATTTTTAAAATAAATTTAAATCAAAGGACCCAATCATTTTTTTAATATATATTCTTAAATTTTATCTAAATTATTGTAAAACATTTTAAAATAGTTATTTTCAATCATTTTTATGTACTTATCATCTCCTGCATAATTTTTATTCTAAGTATTATACTGTTATAATTTTAAACTGTTCACACCTCGAATTATAAATAGATCACATTTTTAAGCGTCTTTAAAAAGTAAATCAGCTGGACCGGCCATTTTGGTGTCACATATGGTAATTATTCTCATGTTAAGAACTACTGTTAAATTGATGACTTACTTTCCTTATTATCTCGATGATCCGGTAATTCTTTAATAAAGTTTGCGTCAGATATAGGAATAAATTAGGCTCTCGTTTAAAATTTTAAATAATGATCAGTGTAAATCAAGATGGCGTCTCCAGCTGATTTGCATCGATGTACACTTTTAATGAATGAATGAATCGTCAGTCTAGGTATTATAAATGTCATTGAAAGAGATCGAAAAAAATGTCAATAGTTTTTGGGTAATGGAAGTTCATACAATTCTCAAATAGAATTTAAATTCAATAAATTTAAGCAATTTTATTCATCAAATCAATGATATGTACGTCAAAAATTAACTGACAAAGTAATTGTGAATTTTATAATAGATAGCGTTCAACCATTTTCCAAAGTTGATAAAGATAAAATAAACCTGTCTCCAATATATGTATTTATATTTGTACCATGAATCTGGTTGCCTTGAAGATTTTATGAGGAGAAGATGACTTCAATGAATATATATATTTGCATGTTAACTTATAATCCTGGACTTAGATATTTTCATATTTTTGAATATCGTCAGATACAGTAATGATTTTGTTAGATATTATGTTTTAGTAACTAAATATAACCTATTCAAAAATGAACACCATCTACTTTACATTTTTTTATCGATAAAATATTATTGATTAACTAGGAACATATGTAAAAATAATAATAATGATCATTTTCATAAGATTATTAATAGGATATAATAATATTTAAAAATAATATGAAAAGCTAAGTATAAAGTTAAAAAGGATTATAAAAATACATAATAAGTTATAATTTTCATAATTAGTCGGAAAAAAAATAATATTAATAAACAATTTATTTTAGAAAATATTTTTTTGAGCTATTATAATTTGTATGTATAATATGCAAGTAATAATTATATTTGTTATGTTGATGGTTTAAAAATAAGATATTTCAATATTTTGAGGATAATATAATAGACATTTATGTGGTTAATAAAAATTATACAACTATATATGATTTTGGTACTTTTACTAAAAGGTTTTAATACATATTATCTTGAAATATGATACATTATATATATAATATACTGATAAATGATAAGAAAATGATAATTATCCCAACTCAAGAAATCAGCAACTCAGAGAAATTTTTTAATTGGATGATATATTTATAAAAGCTTAATAAGTAAGTTGGATTAAAGGTTGGAGAGATATGGGTTAGGGCTAATTAAGTGATTAAGAGGTATGGGTTATTGATAAGATATATTTTAGAGGGTATTAATAAATTTTGTTCAATTTATAACTTGTATCTGACAGTTCATCATGTGATTAAAAATAATTTTCTTGAGCTGGACCATCAAAATTAATGACATTTAATAATACCTAGATTTGCATTCATAATAATGGATAGCGTCGTTGAATGAAAATCAGCAGGACCCTCTATTTTAGTAATCTAGTGCGCACAAATTGAGCGTTGCAACGCTCCGTTTTAAAAGCTAATAATGCATTTTAGATGGTATTGTACAAATTGGATTTTTTACAGCAAGCGTTAATGAAAATGGATACAAAATTTTAAGTATTTATCTCATATATTAATTGATATTTATATAATTTTAGAATATATTAATTTATATTTTAGATAATTTTAGAATATATTTATTTATATTTTAGATAATTTTAGAATGTATTTATATAATTTTAGAATATATTAATTTATATTATTATCATTTTAGAATAAGTTTTAGATGGTTTATCAACTATTAGTTTAAGGTAAATATATATATGAACAGTAATAAATTATATTTTTATTAGGATGGATATGGAGTTTCCACAGCATGATATAACTGTATCATGTTTAAAGAAGAAGTTGAATATGGATATATCAAATTCATGCAATGATAAAGTGCAGAAAAACTACTGACAATTTTAGTCCTACTACACTAAGGGCTACGTTCAAAAATAAATGCACTCATGGGTGAAAGACTTTTGGCTCTTCTGGAATAGGTGCTATCTGAAAGCCAGTAAAATATATATTTTTATCTATAAATTTAATATTATTTTAGAATGTATCTACAATCAATGGCAGAAGGCTTGGAAAGTATCAGCCATTCAAATTAATACTTTTTTAAATGTGAAGTATCAAGATTGTATCATATTTTGATGGAGCAATCAAAGGATTAAAATACTACTGTTGATTTTTCACCAGCAAATTCAACACAAACAACTTTAAATCAAACATCATTTGATTTATTAAATATATTTTATCTTAGTGTGTTAATTTTGTAAATATGTTTATTTATATATTTATAATAAAGTAATATACCATATTATAATGTCTATTTTTGAAAAAATATATTAATAAGCAAACTTGTCAAAATTTTTTAGCATTTTTATTAAATATATAGATTTTTATAAATATATTAAGTTAGGATAAGCAAATAAATATTATAATAATCAAATAAATATTATAATAATCAAATTATGAAAGAATGAGATTGAGTAAACAGTTATGAAAATCCAATAAGTAGGGTAACATGTTGAGAGAAGTGTACAATAAAGATTTAATAGTGTATATATATATATTATAAATTTTGACACAATAATTAATTATTGAGATCAAAATTTGAAGCCTTTCTAGGATTTTAATTCATTGACTTGACCTATAATTTAGCCAATATTATCTTTAGAAATTAAATATTATGTATGTAAAAGGAATAATAGTGTTTGATTTTTTAAGATATTGACTATATATAAATCTTACTATGTTTTATTGAGCTAATAATATTTTATTTTGACATCACCTTATGTGATTACAATAAAAAAATTCAAAGACCAATTAAATAAAATTGGGCAAAGCTTATGGCTTCAAACTCTCATACAGATGGCATGATTATATTATTTTAGTAATATATTTAATACTCTTACATGTTCTAGTGTACATTTTTGTTATTAAAGAATTGAAAATGTAATTAAATTATTTTATTTGCATTATTTGTAAATTATAAATATATGTTCTCCTCATCCTTGTATAAATAAAATAAGCAATTAGTTGTTTATCTTGTAAACTAAAGAAATCCATAATGTTTAATAAAAATTAAATCACGTTTCAATTTGAAAACAAGGAAAAAACGTACTGCTTTCAATTTAAACCAAATATGCGTTACGTTAAAAAATGTACTGCAAACGCTGAATTTGTGCCAACTATCCTAATACATAAATGAGGTATTTCTGTTTTAAAAACTTCAAACTTATTAATTATACCACTTAATAGCCTTTGTTTTGTATCAACAAATAAAACACATAATCGTCAAACATGTTTCATTAAATCATAACACTGTAAAATGGAAGACTTTTTAAAGTGATCTTATTTTTTATTTTATTTTAAAACCGTTTGATATAATGATTAGTTCTTTCCAATAAAATCATTTTTAAATAAGCCCCCCCCCTGATTTTTAAGCACATGTGGTGAACAGGGTTGCCATGTCTACCCCTATAAGCGGGAGACTCCCGCAAACTTTTAGTTTACACGCAGACATTTCTTTTCCACAAAACAACCGCCCCGCAAAAATATACCGCAATTTTTTAATTTCTCCCGCAATTTTTTTTTTAGTATTTTAACGTTTTTAATATATAAATAATAATTTTGAGAGACATTAATTGATAATTTTTATATTTTTAAATATTTATTTGAAAATGTCCAGTTTGTAAATTTCTTTCCATCCTGTTTTATTTTTATTCAATAATAAATCAACATTATTTCATTCATATTGGTCAGTACAGGGGAGTATATCAACATCGATTGCAATACAAAAATATTCTCCAAAAATAATTATAATATGCAACTACAGTTGAGGAAATCGTATACAGCTATCATGTAATTTAACATTCACAGAGCTATATCATCACAATGTGGGTCGAATCTTTCCCATGATATTTAACGACTCCAATATAAGGGCAAATCTTACTTATGGTAGAACAAACATGAGCAAGGCTATCACAAATGTTTTAGTAATAGATTCCTAGATGTCAATTCTAGACGATTTGAAAGATGGGCATCCATATGCAATTCTAACAGATGCATCTAATAAGGTATGTATTAAATCATTTCCTTGATCCTTCACTATTTCAATAAGAATAAGTACATTTCAATTAAACTGTTATTTTTTACTCGGATAGTGAAAAATCCAACAATGTAGCTAGCCACATAATGGTAAATATAGCTGATTCAGGGTTATCAATGATTTACATGTCAGCTTTCTGCTCTGATGATGCCTCTGTAAATCTTGGCAAAAACCAAAGTGTACTTACCGAATTGAGGCAGCACAATAATAAATTAATACCAATTGGCCGTATATGCCATATACTATATAATTCTTGCAAGAAGGCAATAAATGTACTATCTGTGGATGTCAAAATAATTGTGATGAAATGTTTTAACGAATTTAGTTCATCAACTAAAAGAGTTAATGAATTAAAGGAGTTGGTGAAGTGGTCTGGCCTGGAATGTGTGAGTTTTTGCGATTTTTTCGAGTAAGAAATGGCAGAATAATATTTGGGATTCGTTTCATATGTATGAAATCTACTTCATGCAGTTAATATTCAGTTGCAATCAGAATATTCTTTATTAAAAAAGATTCACAAAATCATGCTACAGCTCTGTTCATCTCTACAATTAAAAATTGATTTGTGACAATGGTGTTGGAGAGAGGAGGCGACAGGGCCATTACAACCTTCAGTCTAATGCAAATCAATAAATACGGTGGGACAAGGAGATGTGTCAAACTGTATTCTAATACAAAAAAAAATTCCAGAAGAACGTAAGAAAAATATATAAATAAAGGTGAAAAAGAAAAATTATTTTGATAAGATTATGTTTATGTGAAATATAAAATCTAAAATTAAAGACAAAGGTGTTATATTATAGGAATTAATAAATTAAAATATTGGTTATTGAATAGTATTTTAATTTTTATATTGCATACATTCATTATATTTTTATTTGGTTTAGGAATTCAAATTCAACTTGTATTACTTTTTATGAATTCAAATTTATCTTTTCAATTCAACTTTTTATTTTTGTAATTCAACTTATATTACTTATTATTTTTCGTAACCTTACTTTTTGTTTTTATATATATTCTAATTTATATTTTAGAAAATGTATATATACCTTAAGAAAAGAAAAAGAAGTTAGTTAATAAAATATATTTTTACTGACTCGCACCTCGCGCTATATCGTACGTAAGTATCCTTATTCTTTTCAAAAAATAACATTCATAGTAGATAAGATATAATTGTGTTTAGTTATTTAAGGGTGATAATTAGGAATGTTATATTTAGAAGTTACTGGTAAACTAAAAACCATTGGTATTTTGAAACTAATAGAGACTATGATATTTTAGATTTTAGAATTATTATCAATTGATCACTAGAAATAACTATGACAAGAAATAGAAACATAAATTGCGAAAGTTAATATTTAACTAATAGTTTGCTAAGATATAATAATTAAAAAATTCGGTGAATAAGATTAGAATATAACTTTATTGTTAGGAAATAGTTGATTAAATTCTTATTGAAGATTTACGTTTAACTTTTATTTTAAGGGCTGAGAGAGATAAAACAGCCTCAAGGATTAATGTGAATGTAGTATATTAGGGTTGTAGATTAACCAAAAATCTTCATAAAGAGAAACGGCTTTCGTCATTAGAAAATTTATGCCGCAATCGAGCTCAATTAGAGATTGGATTTTTATTTTTTTGAATCATAAATAAGATTTGAGATCAATTATGCAACATTATTCTAATAATAACAGAAAGAAAAACATGCTTTAGAAATATACATATCAGTTTTCAACAACGGTTGTGCGAAAAATTATAATGATTAGATTTCATAAATTCTTCAAAGACGTGGGGTGAAAACCATAGTGATTAGAGTTATAGGGTTGTTCATAAACGTGAGTATGAAAACTTTTATGATTAGATGTCATTGATTTCTCAACAACGTATGTATGAAAAGAGATTTATATATTTCAGCAGTTTTTTTTAAAGACTTAAGTGTCAAAGAGTACATGCGAGGGTGTGATATTTAGTATTTTCACTAAATATCGCAGGTGTGATATTTAGTTTTTTCACTAAATATCACGGGCGTTAGTAGCAGTCATTATCATATGAATTTGTAAAAACTAATAAATATACTATACAATTTCTTAACTACCTGGACAAATGTAACATTATTTTACCACTTTGACTATGAAAAAAAGTTATTTAAAGGCAACTTTGAGCAATTGGTCTGTTATTAAATAAAATATGTACACTGTACAGTGATATCAATATCCAATTTCAAAGGAAGTCATAAAAAAATAGATGAAGGGTGCTCAAGATTAGGAAAAATATATTAACATAAAATGAGCATTGTAAATTACTTTTATAACATGAGGAAATAAATACACAATGATAATTTTTTTTAAAAGATAGATTTTGATATATATTTTAGAATAGGATTTTTAGATATAAATTTAGTATAAACATGGCTGAAAAGAAGATGAGGATCTATAGCTAAAGGATGAGTACAAGTAAATTTTTCAATGAAAATATGGGTCTAGGCTTCATTAAGGGGAAAGGGGTGATAGAATTTGATATATTTATATAATTTATTTTTGCTACGGATTATAAATTTAAGATTTAGTATAATTTACGCCATTTATTAAAGGCAGAATTAGATTAGAGGAGATAAATGTAGACATTAGGATGAAGTTGGTATATTTATATATTTTATTAGTATATTTGAATTAGGTAGTTTATATTTGAGAATAAATATAAAAAAGTGATAAAATATTTCAGAAGTTATTTAAATAGATTATTTTAGTTAGAAGTAGATTAGATGTGATTACCTGAAACCTTAAGATAAAGTCGATATCTTAGCAAAGGCAAACTGTAATAGAAGACCCGGAAGTTTAAAAGATATATACGATTACAAGAATTAGAGGCAACAACCAACCGATTACAAGAGAATGATAGAAAACAATCTACGATAAATTGTAAAGAAATTAAAACAGACTAGCAAAACAAAAGTTGAAAAAGAAACTGGATGTCATCGATAATCGTTTATCAAGCGTGGATCCTGGAAAACAGGCGTTTATCAAGTTCGTCAGTCGTTTACAGAGATAAAAAGCTGATCGTTTCCCAGGGTAACAAGCGACAAAAGATAGAATTCAAAAATTTCAAGCGA